AGAGTCATATGTAAGTCGGTCGACTAAACCCGAATGCGAAAAATGTTTTCCTCCCTTTGTTGTCTTGTTGTCTCTCTTAATATAACCATAATTTGGTTGTTAATTAAAGGATTAGCAAAGTCAGATGTGAGAGAAAGGTAGAGAAGCTAGATGTTATCGATTAATATTGGATTATTTGGTGGGGTAGGCTAAGTAATTAATTCTTGTATTAAATTTGGAATCAAAGGTTTAGTAGGTAACCTAGTTGCCTGAAATGCTAATCCTAAATAAATGAAAGTGATCACAAGAGGTAATTTTTTCATCCCCTTTGGTGGTCCTTTTTTTTTTTTTTTTTTTTTTGTGAGTGATATCGCTATCACATAATAATGAAAAGCTAGAGCTGAGCTACCATTTTTACCCCAATGATAATTGACTTCTTTGTTGTTGTGGTGCTTGCTTGGGAGGGAGCAGATTGTAGGGAAGGAACTGTTCCGGGTAGTGAAGGAGAAGTTTGGCGAAAATTTGAGTACCATATTGTCAGACAAGATAGTTCTGGTACCTGGTGACATCTCTGTGGACGAAGGGCTTGGTGTCTCTTCCTCAGAACTCAAACAACAAATGTGGAATGAGGTCGACGTTATTGTAAATCTGGCTGCATCTACCAACTTTGATGAAAGGTATTTCTATTATGACACAACCTAAATTCATAGTTTCATCATTTCATGGTGCTCTACGAGATATATCGTGAATTTTCGTTCGATGAATGGGTACTGCAGGTACGACCTTGCGATGGGTCTGAACACGATGGGCGCGAAGCACGTCGTCGGTTTTGGTCACAACTGTCCGAATCTCAAAGCTCTCGTCCATGTCTCGACCGGTACGAATCACTACACGATCAATTATAAAGTCAAAAGGATCATTTTTTTTTCCGGCGTAACTAACTAACTAACCGATTTTTCTGCTTGGTGATCAGCTTATGTCGCGGGGGAGAGGTCGGGGTTGATATTGGAGAGCCCTTATCGAATGGGTGATACCCTAAACGGGGCAACCGGACTGGACATTCAAGAAGAGAGGAAACTGATTGCCCTAAAGATGAACGAACTGCAAGCGGAAGGAGCCTCTCAGGACGCCATTAAAAGGGCCATGGTCGACCTTGGCCTCAAAAGGTCCGTATTCTTCTTACCTACATACGAGTTATTATTATTTACTAGTACTGGTTGATGGAAATTGTTTATATTCTGAGTCGCACTCGTACGTGCAAGGAAAAAATAAAAATTTGATTGGATTTTGTTAATTGTTGTTTATAATTTTGCTAGCTAGGGTTTGTCCTTTTCTCTATATTATCTTATCGTATTGGCTGGGTGGAGGTATCCTTGCAGACTGAGTATAGAATTGTGAAACGTCGATTTCATATCAATTCAATGAATGCTTCTTCCGGTTCTATGACATTTTTCTTTTTGTAAGCAAGCATAGAGTCCATTAGTTGAACAGTGAAATAATTTATTTTTTCCTCCCTTTTTTTTATCAAACATTATAATGTACAGTTGGCTAATATGCTAAAATTAGTAACCAAAAGTTTTAATTTCTTAGAAATCTACACAGGAACAATGTAAAAAATGGGGACAAAGGCAATTGTGGGAAGGGAATTGATTATTGATCCCCGAGCCAGTCTTGTTTCTGTTCACGACCTCTCAGGTTGCAGTCCTTTGCAGATAGGCAGAAGTGTTTGTTTTGACTTTGGCCGAGATTGTAAAAATCTTATCAGAAGGAAAAAGAAGATGAAATTTGTCAGAGAAAAGGCATGAAAACAGATATTATTGGTGTGATAATAGTTTGGACACAGTACCCCAAACCCTATCTATCTATCTATCTTCCCCATCACATAGAATAAGAAAATAATTCCATATACTCTGAGTACAGTCCAGTTATTCGGGGTAAGCACGTGTTTACGTCGCTAACTCGAGAGAATTATCGAATGTACGCAAGTGACATTCGTTCAATGGGATGTTAGGTTGTTGAACGCCAGTATCAACATTGCTTTCCTTTTATACATGATAGAAGGAAATAAAGCGTCAGATGTCCTGACTGTTCTCATTCATGTCAAGAGTCCTAGCAGGAGATATTTGAATTCCCGTACCCATTTCTCAGCTAAGATTGAGATCCAAGCTAGTTTATTTTGTTTCCTCTTCCTCATATCCCTATCTATTTCTTCCCCATACATAGGACAATAAAAATAACTACACAACTCCAAAGTGCAACTCACTTATCTAGCACGTTACTAACTCGTACATTCTACAGTGAAAAACTTCATTCAGTGAAGTACGGATTGTTGAATGTCAACATTAACTTTGCTTTTCACTTTTACACGGTGGACGGAAAAGAGTAGTGTGCTAACTAAATCACGAAAAGTTGGATGTCCTTGATCGGTCTCATTCATGTCAAAGAGTCCTAGTAGTTGATATTCGAGTTCTCATGATACCCATTTCTTAGCTAAGGTTGGGATCCAAATTCCAACCCAGTCTATTTTGTTTCCTCTTTCATGTCTGTTTTCTGTGTGGACATGGACATATAGTCTACTAGGATCCACTAGTGGCACAATAAATGGTGTTGGGAAGGGGTTTTTTTGTAGTGGAAGTGGACACGTCAATGGAAACAGAACTAGTTCAACACCAGAGACAAGAGATCAGAACTCAAAAAGACTGTGTATATATGGATGTGGATGGATCAAACTTTTAAACTAGTTGTACATGAAAAAACAGTAAGAACACCAACATTTAATGTTGAACAACAGGAGTAGGTAGATGTGCAATAAAGATGGAAAGGATAGACTGGGTGAGTTGGTTGCTCACAGAAGCAAAAGCAAAGTGTTTGAAGATGCATTATTAAATAAGAGAAGGGTTCTTGTTTTTCTCTAGTTTCTAGTCCCACATTTATTGGGTTCTTACCCTACTCTGTACTCACCCCCACTGCCACAGACTTTAAAGCCCCCACCATTTCGACGAACCCAGTTCGTCGTAACTTGTAACTAAGTGGTTAACATTCGTATATAATTTTTTTAGAATCGGTTAGTTTATGGCAATGATATCAGAGCCGGTTTGCGACTAAACTTATTACAACATATACCCAACTTGTCACTTTTTAAGTCGGGTCAATGTCCTAATTATCTACTGGTCACCTAATATTACTTGCACAATACAACATGGTAGCTGCAACTGTTGCATACGTTTTCCACCGACGCATCTGTCATCACTTGATTTTCTTTTGTTTTCTGCATTTCTTCCATTTCTAATCAATCTGTAATTGGACCTACACTTGGATTCTATCCTAATGATTATTTCAAGGTTGATTCTTGCACACAATTGTCTTACGCTTTGTATATTCTCTGTTTTCTTTCCCGGGAAACAATTAACAGGGCAAAAACCTACGGATGGCCAAACACATACGTGTTCACCAAGGCAATGGGGGAGATGCTGGTTGGAGAATTCAAAGGCAGCAACATGTCCGTCGTCATCGTACGTCCCACCATCGTCACCAGCACTTTCAAACAGCCTTTCCCTGGCTGGGTTGAAGGCATCAGGTACTGATTTGTAAAATTAAAACCAATTCCAATTTGGTCCCTCTCCTTTGACCACATGTCCAATTTGGTCCTCACCATGGTTTAAATTTGGTTACAGAACAATCGACAGCTTGGCTGTCGGCTATGGCAAAGGACGCCTCACTTGCTTCCTTGGAGACGTTGCAGGCATTCTCGACGTGGTAAGATTTCAATTCGCTCCCTGAACCAGGACCATAACTTGCAAAATGGTCCTTGGATCTTTTTGTTAAATCCAGAGCTTGAATGTGTACTCTTTTTCCATAATATTGATGCAGATACCAGCAGACATGGTGGTGAATGCGATGCTGATGGCCATCGTGGCCCACTCGAACCAGCCTAGATCCGAACCGGTCATCTACCAAGTGGGTTCGTCGATTCGCAACCCGATGAAGCTCGGGGATCTCAAGGAATATGGGTTCGGGTATTTCTCTCAGAAGCCGTGGGTCGACAAACAAGGCAACGTGGTCAGGGTTCGTAAGGTCAGAGTCCTTGGTAGCATGGACAGCTTCCGCCGTTACATGGCCTTCCGTTACTTGCTCGTCTTGAAGGTAATAAGCACACAAAAAAAAAAAAAATTGACATTTCACTTAAGCTAGCCAACAACATGATTTCAGTGGTTAAAGTGTTGAACTCGTTGACGAAATGTTGTTTATGTGTAGGGGCTGGAGCTGGCGAACACGGCCTTTTGTCACTTCTTCGACGGAGTCTACAGCGATCTCAACCGTAGGATCAAGTTCGTGATGCGGCTCGTGGAGCTCTACCAGCCGTACCTATTCTTCAATGGAGTGTAAGATGCAATACTCCGTGAAATTTATCTTTGTTTCTTACGCGCGACAGTTATTTGAGAACGAAATATGTGATGTGGATTTTATCTTTTTTTTTTGTTTTTCGCGACAGGTTTGACGACATCAACACGGAGAAGCTGAGGATGGCGGCGAAGGACAATGGAGTGGAGACGGACAAGTTCTACTTCGACCCGGCCGAGGTTGATTGGGAGGATTACTTCGTCAACATTCACATTCCTGGGCTGGTGAAATATGTTGTCAAATAAAAGGAAGAGAGGGAAGAGGAGGTGTCATTAGGGTTTATGAGACAAGACATACGTAATAATGATGATGATACATATGATATGAAATATATGGTATATTTTTCACATTTTCCATTTTAATGGCGGCAAATTGGTGGTGGCTGATCGCTGGATTTACAAGGAAAAGGGAGTTAGTATATGTTTGTTGTTCACGTTACATGATTTACTGTTAGGGGAGCAGGAGTTTGGATTTGATTGATTGATTCTCGGACAAGACTAGAAAAAGTGTAATCACGTTTTTGTGTTGGTGTCACTTTGATTTCTCTTTATATCGGCCCTACGATTTATTCATGTGGTAGACTTGTTTTTAATGTATTCATGAAGATTATGTTGTATTTATATTTTAATTCTTTCGAATTCTAGTCCAAATTCGCTATTAAACGTGTCAATTTCGTGCTTAATAAGCGAGCTATTGTCGGACGATAAATTCACATAGTACAAGGACAGGAGATCCCACGAGTTCTGAATAAAAAAGCTGAACTAGAATAAAATATGAAAACTGATAATAATAAAAAAAACTGAATCTCGACACCAATTCTGCCTGAAACGAGGGCATGATTTGATCTCTCATGTATAGTACAACAAAGAGACTGCGGACGGGTTAAGCACCAAATTGCAGGCAGTCAGAAAAACATAGGCTACCAAAGAGAATAGCAGCTTAAAAAAGCTCCAAATTGCCACATGTGGAACTTGTTTATTACAATGATCCCAGCTAAGAATGAGATGGAGACCTCTCCTTCCTTTTCCCTGTAATGGCTGTGGTTTTACTGTCACTAACGTCGGAGGGATGATGGCTCTTGCAGCAGTTCTCATGGCCGTTTTCAGAAGCTTCCATGGTCATGGATTCCTTGGGAGTTTTATCTGCAGAACTTGTTCTTGTGATGCAGAGCCAAGTTTGTGCAGACTCTTCGGTGTCACTGCCTGCTATAGGTACATGCCATGATCCTTTTTCTGATTCCTGGAAATCAGAGAGAGAAGAGAATACAATTGGTTGGGTTCGATTCATTAAACTGCCATGGTAATAAGTTCTCCTAGTAACCAACATATGTATCTAAAGTTTGACATTACAGCAGCACCGGGGACATTACCTGGATGACCACAGAAAAAGGAGCCGGCATCTGAAGTTTTAAGGTACCCTTCGCAAAAGTGTACTTTACCTGCAAATGATATAGACGAGAAGTCAATAACACAGCAAAGACCATTTTACCTGCAGCAAATCCTCAACCAATGAACAACAGACAATCTTGGAAGCTGTAGATCCAAGTGGTTGATTATGACCACTACCCAATGACTATTACTTAGTAAAATGTTCATCAATGCAAGTGTTTGATTATGTTTATAACTAGGGATTCGGCGATCAAAAGAAAAGCATTGCTTGCAAATCAGGCCAAAAGGCAACACGTACTTGATGCCTTTCTTTCCACTTGATAAAGAAGCTGCTTCCTAGGAGCTCAAAAATGTGATCTCGCATTTCATCATTAGTCACTAGCAAGCACCTGAGTTTGACTGCAGCATAAAGCCAGTACCTAAAACCCAGAGGAAAGGATAAGTCACTAAAAAACCTCCCATTGCCAGCAAAACCACAATCCATCACAATTTCAGAAGCTTTACATACAGAAAGCACTTCATAGAAACATGATCAACATAATGGAAATAGACGTGTATCCATGAATATTACCAATCATCATTAGAACCGTGTGGTGTTGTATAAAGAGCGCCGTTCTCCTTCCACTCTTCAATGAACTTTCTATTGGAAGCATTTTCTAGGAGAGCTCGAACACGCTTGTTGTGCAAGACTATCAGTGGCCATTTCTTCCCATTTCTATTGTACAGCTCTTTCACTACAGCATCAAGCTGCTCTATATCAATACAAAGAAAAGCACAATAACCAGCGGAAATTAGCAGTCTATTCAATCTTTAAAAGGAAGGACAGAACATAACTTCCATGTCTAAATTTCACAACCTGAGAGATGCTGAATCCCCCTTCTGAAAAATTCTGCTGGTAGAGGCCCACATTTGCTGCATCAATTATAGCTTCATAATGGCCATTCTTCTCCAGCCAATCCTGTTAAATATACATACAAACATCCCAAAAGAGACGTAAGCTTCAAGAAACTTAACCATGTCCAATTCTGATTCAGTTTTCGACAGTAATCCATTATCCATCATCAATTCAAATGATAACTGACCTGAAACTCACTGAAATTGGCCTTGACCTCCCTATCCAGAGCCAAACCTGTTATTGATCGAGCAAAGATCTCGGTTTCTTCTTCAGCAATATCAGCACAAGCCAATTGCTCCCCACAACATAAACACTTGCCATCAACACCAACTCTCCCTCTCTCAACAGCCCACTTCCCTTCACCAGTCCATCCCAAGCCATGCCATCCCCCACCATTCCTAGCAATGGCATCTCTAATCAAACCCGCATCTAATTCCACCCCATCGCAATCGAACCGATCGAACCAATCCCTAATCACATCAGCAGTCTCCTGCCTCACACACCTCACGGCCTTCCTCAATTTCTGCAAATACTCGTAAACTTTCTCTTGTTTACCAGTCTCGGAACTCACCTTAAGCAATGCCGCGAGCTCCGCTTCCTCCAGAACAACTCCGTTGCTTTCCATGTGCTCCTCGACTTCAAACGCCTTGTCCGCCTCCAACTTCTCGCAGAAGCAGAACAGCGCCGGGTCGTAAGTCCGCAGCCTGGGCAATGACTTCTCGGCGATCAAGTTTTTCACCAAATCGAAAGCGTAGCCGCCGTCCCCTTTCGCGGCGGCGAGGCGAGCGACGGAGGTTATGGAGGCCTCGTTGGGTTTAATCCCGGAGGCGACCATGTGATCGTATATGCGGAACCCATGCTCCAAGGCAAGGTCTTTGGCCGATGGGTCGGCTAGGGAGATGGAGCAGAGGTACAGAAGAGTATTGAAGTGGTGCTGGCTGAGACGGACGGCGGTTTCTCCGGCGGCGGAGGAGTCGTAGAGGGAGAGGGCCGAGCGGAGGTCTTTGGATTTGGAGTGGGAGTTGAGGTTGTAGTTGAATTGAGCTTCCGCTGATTGGTTCTTCGGCTTCTTCTTCCTCTGCGTGGCAGCCATGGATGGATGGATGGCGAAGCTGAATCTGGGCGGGGGAAGCTGGTTAAGGGGAAGAAGGAATCAGGGTTTTGGAATTTTGGTGGGGAAATTTCAAAAGAAACCCTAGAGATCATAGCCCAGCACGAGCTGGGTTTGCCGCGCCACTTACGCTCCACGAGCTGAAAGACGACGTTTCTGTTTTATTCGTTTTTGGGCTTATCCTGGCCCAATAAACCGGCATGGGCCCCCAATAATTTTCGTCCAATTACATGGGGCTTCAGGAAGTAAAATATTTATATAATCGACTCAAAGATCAAAAGATTTTGGGTTCAATTTTTTCCTCGTAGGGATGTTAAGAACTTCAATCATGAAAATAATATTTATAAATGGAGAGCATAATTTGATGTGAACTATGATTTAGTTATTGTTTAATCCTCATATCCTACCCTTTAATGATTTGTTATTTTATTTTATTCTAGTAGTCTTTGCTTAATAGGATTTATCTTAATTGAGGTTGTGGATTTGTGGGATTGTAAGTGATGAATGAACTCGCTTGTTATGATGTAGAGAACTTCATTCCATAGAGATGCTGAATCCTTCACCTCAAAATTGGGATGAATTTCATCTCGATATATGATAGGGCTGGAAGTTCGATTATCGATTGTCGGTTAATCGGCCGGTTAAACCGATAACCGAAAATTATATGCTTCGGTCGATGGTCGAAGCTCCTAATAGGAAATTCGGTTAACCGAGTAACCGGAAATCGGTTATCCTGTTAACCGACAATAACCGAAATTAACCGACCGACCACCCCCCTCACCAAAACGACGTGAAAATACCCGGTTATGAAGTTTATAACTTTATGTTGTTGAATTTGAGACATTAATTTGGTGATTTAGATGTATTTTGAATGCAAAAGTGATTGAGACTTTACTTTGGGTGTGATTTAGATGTAGAAATGTAAGTTATAACCTTTCATTTTAGGCGATTCTAATCATTTTACCCGGTTAAAACCGAACCACCATCATTTTTTCGGTTATCTCGGTTAACCGACCAACTAACCGATAATCGATCGATCGGTTATTGGTTAACCGAGGCATTGGCGTCGGTCGGTGTTCGGTAGGGGGAGATGGTGGTTCGGTTAACCGGTAACCGGCCAATCGGTTATCGGTTATAATCGAACCGAACCGAATCCACCCCTAATATATGATATCAAATTTAAGCTAATTTTTTTATGAAGCAAATTTAAGCTAATTACCGTCTAAGCTAATTTTTACAAAAAGCCAATGGGACTTTTCGTTCATTCAAGGTATAGACGGAAAGAAAAATGTGACATACATTCCATTTGGGGGATAATAGTGATGACTATGTTTAGATTAGGTGAATTCGATCGTAAGTCGGTGGAAGTTTGGTTAAAAATAATGAGATCAATGTGATGACTCTCTTACAATAAAAGTATCCTTATCGGCAAACAAAGACTCTATCTATTGGTAATATCACTGATATTGAACCTAAAAATCATAAGTTCGAGTCCTTTAAATAACATCTAATTAAAAACAAAACGTTTATCACTCTTATTAAAAAAGCCTTATCGAAGCCGTACACATCATACTTCAATGTTGCAAATCTCTAACTCACATTCCCCCTCTTTCTTTTTTGAAGTTGCGATATTCCAAGTGACTTACTTCGTTTGGTGACGAGGATTTGGACAATAGATTCATTATAAGATCATGTATTTTTACGGCTTTTTGTAATGTAATTTTAGGACTTTTTATAATGTAGATTTTAACTTTGAAGATTTCAAATCTCCAAAATCTAGAGATATCAAATTAATCCTAATTAGAGCTGCAAAATACAAAACAACAACAACATTGGGAGAAACATGAAAAATACACGTTATTGTCTTTAGTCAACCTCTGTTGCTCCCTTGATCTTTGGTCAGGTAGTTATCATAAATGGTCACAAACCTATTCACTTTGTACAAAACGGTAACAATTCTTTAATTTTGTACGTTTCGATAAAAAAGGTTTGAGCGAATATGGTCAATCCGTCCAATTCCGTCCAAAACTCTGTTATTTTTGCACAGTCAGCTTGACACGTCATTAAATATATTAATAAAAAATTGGCTAAATTACACGTTTGGTCACTCAAATTATACAAATCTTTCACATTTGCCACCCGAATTACTTTTCTTTCTTATTCGCCACTAACTTTATGAATCTTTTCACGGTTGGTCACCGGCCGTTACACTCCGTTAAGTTTGTCCTACGTGGCAGTCAACTATAAAGTTTGACCGTTAACTAGATGACGTGGAAATTAAAAAAAATAAAAAATAAATAAATTTTCTTTCCACCTCATCATTGCACTTATTTTGTCTATATAATTTATCATATTAATAATTTATTAAATTTTATTAAATTTAATAAAATAAGCAAGTAATAATAATACGGTTTTGGCTTTGGATTTTATTAAATTTATCATATTAATAATTTATTAAATTTTATTAAATTAAAATTAAAATAAGCAAGTAATAATAATAATACGGCTTACCACTACTGCTACTGCCATTGCTAGTCGTCGTCGCCATCGAGCTAACCATGGCTCCATCTTCGTCACACGTAAAGTCACCACCCATTGAGAAGCCGCCAACTGCCACCGCCGACTCGATAATCATAGCAGCCGATCGGGAGACCCAATTGGCGGAGCTTTCCGCCAAATACAAGGCGCTGCATCATGTTAGCTCTTTTTCCAACGAGCAGAGCTCGGATAGGCGGGCACCAGGGGAACAATGACACCCCATCGACATGAATTTGAGCCATACGTTGGAGATCCTGAATCGTAACTTAAAACGCATGGAAGCATGGCGTCTTTGGAAAAGTATGAACCTAGCAGATCTGAATGCTAGGGTTAGAGAAAAGAAGACGATAAGCAAATAGGGTTTTGGGGAATTCTGGCAAGCTGCCTTTCATTCCATTTTCTGAGAGCTTATATACAGAGGGTCAACTGTACAGAAAAAGTCTCTAATTACTGTGCTAACGGCTAATCAAAACTAACAACTCAAATCCACTAATAAGACTAAGCCAAGTGGCAAATGAACGTTATTTACTCTTCCGAATTTACTGTTCCGTGGAACGACGCCGTCTAGCCTTATTTATCTGCTGGATCTGCAAACCGGTTGAACCAGGTGAAAGGAAGCCCAATTCATCTTCTGCAGATCCTCGAGACTTCATCTTCCATTCTTCTTCCTCAATGCAGAGTGCAATTCCTTTGGCAACTTCAACTCTTCAAACCTGCACTCTGCTTCACACGCCCCTTCAAGCTGGCGAGTACATATTATGTACTCCCAGCTTGGACAACAGAAACTCAAATCGATCAGCAGCTAACCCCTTTGTAAAGAGATCAGCCAACTGGTTATCAGTACTGAGATGTAAAAGTGTAAGAAGTCCTGATTTCAACCTTTCACGAACAACATGGCAATCAACCTCTATGTGTTTTGTTCGCTCATGAAAAACTGGATTTTGAGCAATATAAATCGCGGACTGATTATCACAGTATACCTTTACTGGACTTGAATGTGGAACACCATAAAACTCCAACAAGGCTTTAAGCCATTGAACTTCACAGGATAACTGAGCTAAGGCCCTATACTCTGCTTCTGATGAAGATCGAGATACGGTTCCTTGCTTCTTACTTTTCCAGGTAATGAGTGAAGTACCTAAAAAGGTACAATATCCAGTAACAGATTTCCTTGAATCAGGGCATGTTGCCCAATCTGAATTGCTGTAACCCCTTAACTGCAATTGAGTGTCTGCTGCAAACCACAAACCTTGGCCTGGACTCCCTTTTAAGTATCTCATGATTCTGTGCAACGCCTTTAAGTGGACTGTAGTAGGGCAGTCCTGAAACTGACTAAGCTGCTGGACAGGGAAACATATATCAGGTCTTGTAGAGGTGAGGTACTGAAGTTGTCCCAGGAGATGTCTAAACACTGAAATATCCTCCAAAGGAGTTCCATCAGTAGCTGAAAACACAGTCTTCATGCTAAGGGGTGTTTTGGCTGGTTTACATTCTAGGAAATCTGCATTTTCAAGCATTTCCAAACAGAATTTCCTTTGACATAAAGCAATACCCTTGTCTGTTCTGGCTATTTCCAATCCAAGGAAATATCTCAGATTTCCCAGATCCTTCACTTTAAAACCTTGTTGCAACTGCTGCTTTACACGTTTAATATCTTCTAGACAGGGTCCTGCTAGGATGATATCATCCACATAAACCAACAATATGACAGTGGAACTCTTAAACACTGAGTAGTCTTCATAGGATTGCTTGAAACCCAGCTTGGATAAGAATTCAGACAGTTTTAAATACCACTGTCGACTAGCTTGCTTTAACCCATAAAGGGACTTTTTTAACCTACAAACCTTGCCTTGCAGGTGACTTAGCTCACGCATACCAGGTGGCAACTCCATGTAGATCTCCTCCTCTAAGTCACCGTGCAAAAAGGCATTGCTGACATCCATTTGGTGAAGGTGCCAGGATTTGACAGCTGCAACAGCAAGGAGTAACTTCACAGAACCCATTTTAGCCACAGGGGAGAAAGTATCAACAAAATCAACACCATATGTTTGAGTGTAACCCTTTGCAACAACTCGAGCTTTGAACCTTTCTACTACACCATCAGGAAGAAATTTGGTACGATAAACCCATTTACTGCCTACAACAGGCTGATTAAGTGGTCTATCAACAATGTCCCAGGTTCCAAGAGCCTCTAAGGCATCTGACTCCTCCTGCATAGCTTTAAGCCAGTGAGCATGTTTGGCAGCCTGAGAATAGCTTTGAGGATCAGGGGAGAGAGAAATGGAAAGAGAATAATGCTGATGAGCAGAAGAAAGGTGGCTGTAAGAAATGCTATGAGCAAGGGGATAAAGAAGTCTGCTGTCAAAAGCAGAAGGAGAAGCAGTCATGAAAGAAGTATGGAAGTCATTGAGGTGTTGAGGAGGTCTGGTTTGGCGAGGGGCTTTGCGTAGAGCAATAGGTAACTCAGCAGGAGGGAGCTGAGATTGAGGTGGAAGAGGAGGAGAGGTAGGAGAAGTAGGAGAAGGAGGGTCAGAATGAGAGCTAGAAGGTGTGGAGGGAGTATAATCAGGATCAGTCGTTTCATGAGCATTATGATCAGTAGGAAAATAGTAATGATCTGTGGGAACTTGGGATTGCTCAGAAGATGAGGGTGTGTTTGAGGTGGCAGCAAGAAAGGGAAACACATCTTCATTGAACTGAACATCTCTACTGGTGAAAACCTGATGTGTTGACAGATCCATTAAC